CTGTATATGCCACAGTCACTCTGTTTACCCATTGCTGTAGCTCTCGCCATCGCCTGCAGCGCCTCTTCGTCTCCCTTTTCTGCGTGCTCATCCAAAGGGTTTAGCCTACACAAGTTCATGTTCAGACTCAACTGCCCACGATTTACAATCAAGGGAAGTATTGACAAGGTAGAGCCGTCAGAACTGAAGACGAACATCAAAAATACGCATTTTCAAAATAAAATCCAATGCTAGAGCGCTCTGAAATTTTACCAACTTGAAGGCATGTCTACCTTATTACGTGCTGTTGCCCAGAAATCCGGAAAACGTATACAGCGTGGATGAAAACAGAGAAACACTTGAATATTTATCAAAGCGAATCAGTATGATTCTACTGTCTAGTTTCACTTTACTGAAAACTTTAAAATGAGGGAGGATATGATCAAAAATTTGAATCTGAAGGGACGGCGATGGAGATGAACACCATCGCAGGCAAGGGACACTCACTCTGCTTATCACAGTGGGCGAAACACAAACCGGATGGAAACGAATGCATCAAACTTAGGACAATGAACGACACGAAAAATGCAGGATACTAACAATGACTAGAGAAAGAGAGGAAAAAGTGGCGCGCACTGCCTCAGTCGAATCCCTTCTGGAGATCGAGCATGTACTGACAGAGCCTTTGCGAATTCGTCTCGTAGGGATAGGTCTGCAACACCGATGTCACTAGTTGTTCTGGGAAGATCTTGCTCAAGTGATACTGCAGTTGTGCTCTGTCCATGGGCACCCTGAAATATGGGCTCTCTTGAAAAGAAATTCACTTCTTAATAGTGTATTGCAGACGGGACTTACTCTTGTGTGTTCAGGGGACCAACACTCAGTTCGCTGTGCCCCCAAACGGCTGTCGATGGCGTAAACAGCGTTCCGGTCTCTTGCTCTGTCCTGTTGAATGAGAGTGGAACGGATGCATTTCGGCCAACAGCGTTATGCCACGGCGTTATCATGGAGAAGTCTCGTGGCTAAATTCACAAATACAGGACTTAATATTACAGGACATGTGTCTGTAGAACTGAAAACAGCTAGAATAAAACCTGAAAAAACAGATTTGGCACTTTTTCCGCTTTCCTACACCCGCAACTTCAAAAAGAAGGTTCCCCATTAGAGGTTCTGCTATCTTCACCCCTAAACGGATTCTTGCGAACCCTGATGAAGTAAAATTTTTTCCGTAGCGGTGGTGTGCTTGCATTCCGCACCTTCGAAAGAAGGCGACGAAAGAGGTGTGGGATCATGCTCCATGGGCGGTGTTCTAGTCGATACCAAACTGATTTAAAGGCAAAGTCGGCGATCACAGATAGTGGACTAGGGGTTTGCATATGGACGACAATGTGCTGAGTAATTCGATAGTGAGAAGGAAGCAGAGAAAACATGCCACCTGCCCTGGATAGAACCCCGTTTCGATCCCAGAGTTTGTACCCAAGTAACTCCATCTTCAACACTACGCCGTCATCTGCACAGTCCCCGATAAGAACTCTACGACCGTACGAGTGATTTCATGCTTTTTCGTCCTCCAGCTTCGCTTTACACTGAAAGGAGGGATTTGAAGGCGGAGTCTGGAGGCGAGGTCACTTGGAAAAAAGGGGCTTCACTAAACCTGTATTCCGCTAGCGCCCCCTTCCTTACAATTTCTTGCCGCCAAACATGTATAAGGTTGTTCGCCGCGGCCTACACTACCCTACGACGCCTATATTGCAACTTCACACCTGATCGCGGACCGTGCCATTAAGGGTAGCACGCATACAGCGTTCTGCAATAAGATATTGCCTGTGCGCTGCGATGTCTGACGCGACTCGATGCGCTGAGCTCATTCTAGTGGCATCTAGGTGCGTTCGAATGCGGACATGCGGTTGAATTCGCTGCAACAACGATTGAATGGGGGAGGATGGTATGAAGTCTCTAGCATGAGATGCGAACCAGCCCACACTACAGCAAAGTGCGCGGAGGCTAAAATAAGAGAGGATGGAAAATGATATATAAGCATCAGTCTGGCTTGGGATTCAACTAGAGTATGTCGAATTCACTTCACTTAGAGTCCGCACATTCACTAGAGTGCATTCAGCCTCTTTACGATCCCCAATGGACGCCAGCTACTCACACTTTAGTATTAGAATCGCGTTTCAATCTATCGAAAAAGCAAAGTATAATACAAGTATTGGCAAAGTGCCAGAGCTCGCGCGCCACGCGTGCTTGACGTGCCGACAGAATTATGGATAGGATTATGGTATGCTAGCGGGTGCCAACGTGCCTGCATGCAGGTCATGCATCAGGCGGCTCGTGCGGAACCAAATGGGCGAATTCCATGTACTGGGTTCTCATTTCAGCGCATGTCGCACGAGGAACTAGGAAATCGGCATACACTCGACAAGGCTGGGGGGGGGGTCCTTGGCACCCGCGATGATTGCAAGGATGCACCCCGTGGGTGAGCGTGCGTTGTGTCTTTAAGATGCTGCGAAAACTCCCAATATCTTACAATATCTGTTCAGCAAGTATGTAAAGATAGCCTGGGGTAATGTAGCATGTAATTGTAGCTCGCTTACAGTGCGTCGACGCGCGACGTCGCGAAGTCTGAACGTCGCCTCAAAAGGTCCGGCCTAGTTTGTGAGTAGTATCTCGCTCGATGTTCGTGGGGAACAGCGACGATACCTTCAGTTTTGCAAGAAAATCCAGCACGAGCTCGAGTAACTAAATTCCGAAATAGAAAAGTTCAAAAGACAAAATCATCGGCATTGGTTAATCCCTTTCAAGGATGTGGCACATTGTTTCGGAATCGTAGTGACCTGAATGGTCTGAAGGCTAGATTTAACCCTCAGACCGCGGGCGTCGTAACAGTATATCACCTCCGCTCATAGCACAGATAGATCTCCAAAATCATAGAAAATGTTGGACGCTTTTTTGATCATATACCACGCTGTGTACAATCTTGTTCAGTGGGGATGATGGGGCGTGTCAGCGCGTCTACGTTAGCTGCGTTGCCTGCAGTTGTTCCTCACCCGTTGCTAAAGAGAATGAGTGACTACATCTGATCGAAAGCGACTGCTACAAACGATATGATACAGCCTTTTCACTTGAAAGAAAAATAGACAAATAAAACGGGTTGGCCAAAGGCCGCTGCGCCTGACACGCCGATCATTCGCGGCGAACGAGGCTATACCTCTCTAGCACTTTCGTGGCTTTTAGGAATTAAAATTTAGCAGTTGAGTGATTGTGAAAGTGAAATTTACGTACTGTCGCCTTATTTTCTTGTTGGGATCGTGGATCGGTGTTGAGCGATCGTGTCCGTCCAACACTGCGATGATCCGGTTTTGGACCTTCCATTCGCATGAACGGCCCTGCAGTGCTCAACATTTCGTTATCAGTTTAAGAGATCAACTGTGTCCCAGGACTCACGCATTGTCTGTGGTCTGCTTTGGTTTTTCTCCCGCATTAGGCGATCCGTCACGCTGACATGCATCCCATTGGGTCGCTCGGGATGGAAATATCTGCAAAAAAATTAATATAATTTACTGGCCGTTAGAGATGGAAATATTTGCAGTAAAGTTAATTAATTCACTGCAAGCTAGGCGTGAATGAGGCTACCCACTTGCATTTGCTGCCGTACGTGCATTTCCGTGCGTAAGGGCAGAGTTGAGCTGTTGAAGGTGTCGAGCTGAAGGAGAGGAACTGCTGCAGACGAGGACCGTAGCGTCCAAGCGGATCTTCTGGTGGCATGAATCTGGATGAATAACTTTTAACGAAAGCACAGACTGCTGCTAAGGGGGACTTACTTTCCATCCACGAAACTGTACATGAGCAAACGTTGCTCTACAATCCGACGATATTGAGGATGTTCTCGAAGCAGATCTCTGCAACAGGCCAGGATACTTTCTGATGAAAAGAAAGAGCTGGCAAGATGTACCTATAGGCGTCGTTTGATACGATGACGGCATCCTTCTCCTCTGCCGTTTTCAATATGTACAGGTCATCATGGCAGACAATTCGGCGGCCATTGATGCGCCTGAAACAGAACAGTTCACGAAATGGTTGCTTGCTTTCAAGGTCTCCCAGATTGACAGCAACAAAAAGGAGCTTGAATTCATCAACAATATTACAAGCCAAGCGCATTCGTTATGGAAGTAATTCCAGAGAAATTTTCATCCCCAGACGCTTCACGTGCCGGACAATTGAGAAAGCTGGAGATGAGGCTTGAAGCCAAAAACTGGAAAAGAACAGCTATGAAAACTAATTGGTCAATCCTACTATATATAATCCGCTAAGTTTGTCT